CAACAGGTATGAGTACATGCACAACCAGACAATAGGTAAGTACCGACAACACAACCAATCAACGTCAGTCTTCCCCTCACACAAGGCCACGTCAGCATGCACTCAAATCACCCCAACAGCAGGTAAGCACCACAAGTCAGAGTCTATTGCTCATGCCGCTCCCAGCGTCGGAATGCATCAATTGTTTCCCAAGGCAGGTCGTGCCTGTGTCAGCCAACCCCCGGTATGCCAACTCAGCTTTCGCCAAGTCAGCACGTCAAACCAATCAAGATCGTGGGGGGGGGGTGGCTTCAGCGAGGAATGCTGGCCGCTCCACTTCTTTCCGTTACCCAGATCCGTTCGTGAAGGTGAACTCCAACAATGTTGCGCTTCACAAATCTTCTCGCCGCATCCCAAGTTCAATCAAGTCTGCCACGTTAGCGCCGGATCTTGCCATTGCCAGTGAGTAATCAAGGAGCCAATCAATCAGCTCCAATCGTCTCTGGCTGGCGAGATAGCAATGCGGCAACTCTATATTGTCGGCGAGACATCATCAGCGCATGAGTAGAAGGTCCCTGCTCCAATCTTCAATGGACGTGGATGTGCCACGTCAGCAATCAATCATCATTGGCAGATAATCTGCCCATCATCACCATGCCCGTCGCGCACGTCGTCGGGCTCAATGTCTAGACAGCGTGTTGAAAAACACGCGCGACAATAATGTCGCGAAAGAGAGAGTATCCCGTCACTTACTTACCTGGCGCGCGCGACCTTGGAGAGAAACTRGCRCGTCGTAATCATAGCGCGTCAGAACAACGCGTGCGCCGTGAAGACAATGTCGGAAGTGAATGCTCTGATACCAAACTGCAATGTGCCCAGTCGTGATAATCAGTCGTCACTCGGAAAGACAAAGTTGACGAACGCTGCTGATATATCAAAATAATGATGATTCCCAATGAGAGAGAAGACATACACAGACGAGAGAGGGAGGAGGGAGAATAGACTTTGAGAGGGTGGAAGAGTCTCCTCCCTACAGCCCACTTCCTCTTCGGGCACTTCCTCCTCCTAACCGCATAATCGTGTCTCAAGCAGAGATCCGGATATCCAAGACACTGTAGACCAATAGTGCCACGTGGCACCAGCGGACCAGTCATCAAGCAGCAACGTGACGACGAAGTTGAAGACACCGGGTACGTATCACGACCCAAACCACAGTCCTGAATCCTCCTTCCGAGTACTTGTCAAGCAGAACAGCAATACAGGCGCTCAGCGCCTTCCAGCTCAGCAGCAATACTACGTGGCAGCAGTCACGAAGATGACACGTGGCATCTGCCACGTCGACAACCCCTCAGACAGTAGTGCGCCAGCCAGCATGCTGGTCGCACAGCACGCTCAAACCACGAACCAGCGACGAGCACCGGTCATCAAGTTCTCTCCGCAGCGTCTCGCCAGCAAGACAGTATAAAGCCGGCGTTGACGCGAGAGCGTCGAGTCAGTATAGACTCCAGACGAGAGTCTAGCTCTCAAATCCAGGAAGTCAGCCCAATATGTAGTGTTGACGGCGGGGTCTGGGCCCCAGTCCTCAAGTCAGACACGGTCGAGATCGATTGTCGTCGACAGCCTGGATTGGGTTGAAACTGTATCCTCCTTGGTCCACCGTTCTGWCTGGGTACCTGCACACATACAAGTCGATGCACACGACCAAGGGCCTGGGCGAGGTACCTGGACCTACAGTTCACTTTGACCTTTGAATTTCTTGCTGTGCGCAGTCACACCGCACCCGCAGCGRCCTGAGGCCGAGCAGCGCGTGGTTGCACTGCTCGCTGGGCCTGGGCTTGGGTTACAGCGCCCAGGCCGCTGCTGAACGCGGTTTACTGCAAAAGAAAAGAAAAGCTAGAAAACAGAGAAATGGTGACCCATAACCGACATGCACAGACCTGAATTCGAATCCAGACTATATATTATCTGCCCACCCTCAGGGAGTACAAGTTTGAAGTATATCTCTGCATGACGCCGGGTCCTAGCTAATATGCTGTAGGGATCCTTCCGAAAAGAGGCTGGACACAACTAGGACGTTTTTGTTTTTCTATTTTTTTAATGCACTGCATCACTTGTGCGTGCGTGCATGTGCGTGCGGCACCCCGAGCATGAGATGCGCTGCAAGTAT